TTACGGAAGTTTGTCAATCCATCACTGGATGGAGGGCCGCGCATGGTCGTGTCGGCTACTTTATCATGCTGGCCAGTGTGGGGTTGGTGACAAGAGAGGGCCAGCGCCCGTTCAAATATCACTCGCCACTCAGGCGGCCCGCTTCGTACAGCGCATTGCACCACTGTGGCTGCCCATTGCTCTTCCATACCGTACCTGTGGAACATTAACGGTGTTGGCTTTCCGCAAAGTTACGAATCACGCGATTCTCACGTACATTCAATTTTTGGCGAGGGCAGTCACTCCCACCCGCCTCTCCTCTGTGACACCACCAATCGTATGTTGTGTCAGGGGGAGGAAAGGGATACTCAACAGTGGAGTTGTGAGCAGCAGCGGGGCCCCCCAAACTCCACCCCCCCCCACACACCCCCAAGGCATCAGCTGTGAAAGCAAGGCCATTAGGCCATCGGGCGCCGGCGCATTAGATGGTGTTCGAGCTGATAATCACATCAAACGTATCAATATGCATTACCGCAAATGGGCACGGATAGGCTTAGGGATTCCCTTTAAATATGACTTTGTGGTTAAATCAGTTTTACTTAGTCTAGTCTGTCATAATTTATTGTCAACGTGTGCACACAAGTGTATACATTGACCGATTTTGCACGTTTTACACTGCATATACGGTCATATCACCGTATGTATCCGTTACCCGATTACGCCTTGGCACAGATTGACGGTTTGCCGAGATATATTATCCATATATAGTTAAAAAAACATTTGTACTGAAAGAATGGCTATGTTTATACAGTATATATATAACGATGGCTATGGTCCCCCATGTAACCTTATACACTGTAGGAGTAAATGCCATAAGTGGGCACCTATTAAGGACATGACAGCAAACGAGGGGGGTTGTGCAGCCAGCATTATGCCCAACCACCTCTGCTCTCCCCAATGTTGATTATGAACACATCTCGTGAGGTACAGGACACATTTAAGAAGTATTCGACCCAAAGAGGACGAGGTACAGGTTGATATAAATTGTCACTGATGATGTCCATCACGGACAGGAGACGTCCCCAGCAAACTGGTAACAGAGTTCCGTGTAAATGCAATGCACCAGCGCTCATCACAGAATGGTGTAAATACGTATTGCAATGCATAAAGTATGAATTATAAACCAGTGTATGGTGCTGCATCTAATGTTCCCTGTGATTTTTTTCTATGCCTTAGAAAGTGCCTGTCACGGTCTGCTTTCGGAGGGGTCCTGGCTTTGGGAAATGTTGTCACTCTCCCCTTCAGGAGTGTTTTCCACGCGATAGACGTACCCAGCGGAATCCCACCGGGCACACGCCGGGATAACGCTCAAAGGTCCGCACCGATAGGTTCTTGAACCCACTTGTTGTACTACCATTTCCTGGCCATTTCGTCTGCAGCCCAAGGCAGTATTGTGAATTTAACAATCTGCGTGATCCAGCAATCCTTACCTCCACAAAGGTACAGAGATTCCAGGAGTAATGGAATGCACAATTATCATGCCTGACTTTAAGGGCCATCTGTGACCAGTTGTACTGTATACGACGCCTTCGGCGAAAAATCATCCCTGAGTTTGCATTCGTTCAGATACAAAACTAATGGAAACATAAGAATATAATGGAAACATTTCAATTGAGTTGCATTTAATGCAACCTTCCCTGATGTTAGTTCGCAAGGGCTTGTCCACTCCACTTCAAAGTGCTTGTATATCTAGTGGCATGATCATGCACACACAGCAGCAGCAGTAGCATCACATTATTATTTAATGAATTTAACACAAAACAAGGCACTCTTGGACAAAGTTGCCATACTATAAAATATGCAGTATACACAAGGCACAAAATATATAACACCGTAAGCATTTTCTCATGTGTATCTGTGTGCATGAGTCTATATCCACGTGATCATACAATTAGGTATGACCGTTAGTTACAAAGGTAAGACTGTGAGCAAATGTATACTTGTTCATGGAGATGTGTATGTATACAATATACCGTATAGGAGTACAATGCATGTGTTTTAGATATACGAGTAGAGCATGTGTATATCTACAAGTATAAAGTATAAGTGTTGTACGAGTGCCTGCAAGTATATTCAGATGCTAAGAGTTACGTGCATAGAGATGAGCCTGTGTAACAAGTATGTGTGTTTTAAACAGGTCCTGGGCCTCCCCTTGGTTGACTCAGCCTCAACTGAGTATCTGGTGCGGTAGGGCAGTAAACATCGCCACTGGGGAGACAAAGGCGGTCGGACAAGGTGCTAGCCACCAAATCCCTCGTGTGCCACTGTGCCGGCCTTCATAGGTGCTCGCTAACAGCACTTGCCCCAACAGTGTGTTGAGGCTATACGGGGGGAATCTTTGTCTTTGTAGAACTATAAGGGTTACTGTGCATGTGAGTGTGTAAGTTTATATTGGTATGTAAGTATGTTTGTTATTTCCACTGAGCCTGCAGGGTTCGATTGTACACTAGTCCTTGGGGAGACTTAAACGGTTGAAATAAGCATCTTGTAAAATAAAATAAAAATTCACTTGGAGAATAATTGAAATTACTGTCGAGAAGAACGGCAATTTCCAAACTAACCTAAACAAGTTGCGTACGTTCACGATTAAATGATATTGTCTTTGACATTCATTTGTGGTATTCACTATTGGTTTACCAACATTGCTGTTGCATTACAAGCATTTCACTGGTGCTGCTGATGTAATTTATTCTTGAGCAGGAAGCATTTAAAAATATACTAACTGGAACCAATAATTGCCATTGCAACATCCCGTTGTCAATCCACTGCTGAATGACAGCCTCCCCCATGCTCATGTTGGTCACGGGGAGTTTGTGTGACCATACTTCACCACGCCGGTCAATCCACTGCTGAATGACAGCCTCCCCCATGCTCATGTTGGTCACAGGGAGTTTGTGTGACCATACTTCACCACGCCGGTCAATCCACTGCTGAATGAAAGCCTCCCCCATGCTCATGTTGGTCACGGGGAGTTTGTGTGACCATACTTCACCATGCCGGTCAATGCGGATTAATGCAGTAATACTAGTGATTAATTACAGTAAAAATGTTGTCATGCCTATAAGTATAATTAAGTCAGAGGCTGCCTTGTGCCCGTCCATGACTACACAGCTACTTAGACCTTAGCCTAATGCGTCGTGCATTAACTAGCACCGGTTAGTGAATGATTGGGCCATCATCATACACAGCAAGAATGACACAAATTATCCAGCGTAACAATCTTTAAAATATCACCATACTTGTCAGAGAGGGACACGTTGGATGCAAAGACACACATTCCTGTTGAATGTAATGTTTGTAAACAGGAAATAATTTCCTCTAAGATTCCTGAGCCAGCCACAGAAATGTGAACACAACTTTGCTAACCTCTCTTGCGGCGGAGCAGCAACGCTGCAGTTTACATCAACATATCCGGCACACTGCTTCCCACACAGGCACACGTCAATCCACTACCGAATGACGGCCGTGGGGGATATTTGACCATACTTCCCCACGCTGGTCCGTGCCGGTTGACGAAGCTGGTCGAAGTGCTGGACGACAATCGATTCTGCTGCACTGCCCTCTACCGGCCACAACGCCTACTGCAGCCGTCTGTGCCACGGTGGTCACCCATGCAAGGCACTATCCAGGCTCGGCCCTGCTTAGCTTGAGAGATGGGAGGGAGGGGGGGCTCCACAAGCACGCAGCACGTCTCCACGATGTGGTCACGTTAACTAGAAGCACGCCATGTCAGCCTGACACAACACATGCTAGGTGCATTGCGTGTGTGTGTGAGGGGTGTAAAAGAGTAATGATTATCGCTCTGGTAATGTGTGGCTGGGGAGGAGCGGTGGGGCAGTGGTTAGCGCACCGTGCACTCTTCAAACTGCGCCTGGTCACGGCTAAGATCAGTGGCGAGCGCCATCTGAATCTGGTCCTATTGCAACCCTACCCCTCTCGCTGCCACGGCCAGCGTGGGTGAAGTATGGTCAAAACCCCTCACTGCAGTGTGACACGGCGTTCAATAGCCCCTTCATCCAGCAGTGGATTGACAAAACGTCTTCTCGGTAGACTCTTAAAGACGATTAAAAACTTGGCTCAGCTGTGATGCAACTCATGACTAACTACCTTACATCAAGTGCGCACTGCAGCAGGGCAAGGCATCGTGTGCTTTAGTGCAGGCACCTCCACGTGTTCGTGGTGGTGGTGGTTGTTGTTGTTGGTGGTGGCGGCGATGATGATAGTGCAAAAACACGACTCTTCGACAAGCGCGTTACATTATCGCACTCTGGGAGTGTATAAAGTTGTCGTTTTTGTGCAAACCGACCGCAGGAGGCCCCACCCAAAGTCATCGCTGGATGCAACAACATCACCACCACCTCCACCACCACCACTACCTCCACCACCTCCACCACTACCACCTCCACCACCAACAACACCACCACCACCACCAACACCACCACCACCAACATCACCACCACCTCCACCACCACCACTACCTCCACCACCACCACCTCCACCACCACCAACAACACCACCACCACCAACACCACCACCACCACCAACATCACCACCACCACCAACATCACCACCACCAACACCACCACCTCCACCACCTCCACCTCCACCACCACCACCTCCACAACCACCACCAACACCACCACCACCACCTCCACAACCACCACCAGCACCACCACCTCCTCCACCACCACCACCAGCACCACCACCACCAACACCACCACCTCCACAACCACCACCAGCACCACCAGCACCACCTCCACCACCATCACCACCACCATCACCAGCACCTCCACCACCGGCACCACCACCACCAGCACTTCCACCATCTCCACCATCACCACCTCCAGCACCACCACCAGCACCACCACATCCACCACCTCCACCACGAGCAGCGAACATTACGTGCAGATGTAACGGGCAATGAGTAGGACACATTCACACCCCCCGCCCTCTGCACTCACCGAGAAAGTTTTGAACACGAAATCCGGGGGGCGATCGGGAGGCTGGTCGAGGGCGAGTTGTTGTTGTTGGTGTCCACCTCCACCAGCTCCCTCCTCCTCCTCGTCGTCGTCGTCCTCGTGGGTCGAGCCAAACTCTGATCTCGGCCGTGTCTTGCCTCCCCTCGGGGTTGACGGCCGGCGATGGTTTGCAAAGCCGCGCCCTTTCCTCTCCTTCGGTCGGGCTTGGGTCCCAACACCACCACCCACCACCACCACCACCCACCACAACTACTACCTCCCCACCACTATCACCAACACCTCCACACACCGTGACCTACTCCTCCTCCAACAGCACTACGACCACCACGGCAGATAACCACCTCCACCACACCTCCACCACACCTACTCACCACCAACTACCTCCCGCAACACCAATACCTCCACCACCAAACAACCACTGTCTACCAGCACCACCAGCAGCAACAACAGCAACAACTACCAAACCCCGAGCTTGGCACAGGCGTGGTGGACAACAGTGGTGGTGGTGGTGGTGCGACAATTCGTCTGCTCCGTCTCGACTGCCACCAACCCTGTGTGCCCTGGGACTCAGCGGATCTCTCCTCCTCCTCCTCCCTTCGCTGTGCCCGCGCCTCTGCGGAGGAGGAGGAGGCGGGCGGGCGGAAGCGGATGATGACGCGACGGGGTTACGTGTGGCCGGGGGGAAGGGGGGATGGTGGTGATGGTGGTGGTGGTGATGGAGGGGAGAGAGAGGAGAGAGTGCGGGTGGGTGGGGGGGTCCCACCAACTCAGGATTTGGCTGGGGGACGTTCTTTAGTGAGCGCCACCCGTCCCCGTGTTCACGATGCAATTGCGGCTCTTGAAATGTTGTGGGCGGTGGAAGGGGGTTTATTTTATTTTTTGACCGAATTCGAAAATATGGCTCATGTTATTTTGGAAGTGCAGTTTACCATTGGAAGTCCAGTTTACCATGGAAGTTCAGTTTACCATGGAAGTCCGGTTTACCATGGAAGTCCAAGTCCAGTTTACCATGGAAGTCCAGTTTACCATGGAAGTCCAGTTTACCATGGAAGTCCAGTTTACCATGGAAGTGCAGTTTACCATGGAAGTCCAAGTCCAGTTTACCATGGAAGTCCAGTTTACCATGGAAGTGCAGTTTACCATGGAAGTGCAGTTTACCATGGAAGTCCAGTTTACCATGGAAGTCCAAGTCCAGTTTACCATGGAAGTCCAATTTACCATGGAAGTCCAGTTTACCATGGAAGTTCAGTTTACCATGGAAGTCCGGTTTACCATGGAAGTCCAATTTACCATGGAGTCCAGTTTACCATGGAAGTCCGGTTTACCATGGAAGTCCAATTCCAGTTTACCATGGAAGTCCAGTTACCATGGAAGTCCGGTTTACCATGGAAGTCCAAGTCCAGTTTACCATGGAAGTTCAGTTTACCATGGAAGTCCGGTTTACCATGGAAGCACAGTTTACCATGGAAGTCCAGTTTACGATGGAAGTCCAGTTTACCATGGAAGTCCGGTTTACTATGGAAGCACAGTTTACCATGGAAGTTCAGTTTACCTTGTAAATCCAGTTTACCATGGAAGTCCGGTTTACCATGGAAGTCCGGTTTACCATGGAAGCACAGTTTACCATGGAAGTCCAGTTTACCATGGAAGTCCGGTTTACCATGGAAGCACAGTTTACCATGGAAGTCCGGTTTACCATGGAAGTCCAAGTCCAGTTTACCATGGAAGTCCAGTTTACCATGGAAGTCTGGTTTACCATGGAAGCACAGTTTACCATGGAAGTCCAGTTTACCTTGTAAATCCAGTTTACCATGGAAGTCCGGTTTACCATGGAAGTCCAACTTTACCATGGAAGTTCAGTTTACCATGGAAGTCCGATTTACCATGGAAGTTCAGTTTACCTTGGAAGTCCAGTTTACCATGTAAATCCAGTTTACCATGGAAGTTCAGTTTACCATGGAAGTTCAGTTTACCATGGAAGTCCGGTTTACCATGGAAGCACAGTTTACCATGGAAGTCCGGTTTACCATGGAAGTCCAAGTCCAGTTTACCATGGAAGTCCAGTTTACCATGGAAGTCTGGTTTACCATGGAAGCACAGTTTACCATGGAAGTCCAGTTTACCTTGTAAATCCAGTTTACCATGGAAGTCCGGTTTACCATGGAAGTCCAACTTTACCATGGAAGTTCAGTTTACCATGGAAGTCCGATTTACCATGGAAGTTCAGTTTACCTTGGAAGTCCAGTTTACCATGTAAATCCAATTTACCGTGAAAGTCCAGTTTACCATGGAAGTCCAGTTTACCATGGAAGCACAGTTTACCATGGAAGTTCTGTTTACCATGGAAGTCCGGTTTGCCATGGAAGTTCAGTTTACCATGGAAGTCCAGTTTACCATGGAAGTCCAGTTTACCATGGAAGTTCAGTTTACCATGGAAGTCCAGTTTACCATGTAAATCCAGTTTACCATGGAAGTTCAGTTTACCATGGAAGTTCAGTTTACCATGGAAGTCCAGTTTACCATGGAAGTCCGGTTTACCATGGAAGCACAGTTTACCATGGAAGTCCGGTTTACCATGGAAGTCCAAGTCCAGTTTACCATGGAAGTCCAGTTTACCATGGAAGTCTGGTTTACCATGGAAGCACAGTTTACCATGGAAGTCCAGTTTACCTTGTAAATCCAGTTTACCATGGAAGTCCGGTTTACCATGGAAGTCCAACTTTACCATGGAAGTTCAGTTTACCATGGAAGTCCGATTTACCATGGAAGTTCAGTTTACCTTGGAAGTCCAGTTTACCATGTAAATCCAATTTACCGTGAAAGTCCAGTTTACCATGGAAGTCCAGTTTACCATGGAAGCACAGTTTACCATGGAAGTTCTGTTTACCATGGAAGTCCGGTTTGCCATGGAAGTTCAGTTTACCATGGAAGTCCAGTTTACCATGGAAGTCCAGTTTACCATGGAAGTTCAGTTTACCATGGAAGTCCAGTTTACCATGTAAATCCAGTTTACCATGGAAGTTCAGTTTACCATGGAAGTTCAGTTTACCATGGAAGTCCAGTTTACCATGGAAGTCCAGTTTACCATGTAAATCTAGTTTACCATGGAAGCACAGTTTACCATGGAAGTCCAGTTTACCTTTGGCAGGGGTCGGCAACCCGTGGCTCTGGAGCCGCATGCAGGTCTTTAAGGACTGCTTCGTGACGTTTTATTTGTTAAGGATCGTCTCGTATTCACATGGATTGCGGCTCATGAAATATTGAGAGGTTTTTTTGGTTGCCGACCCCTGGGCGAGAGGGAGGAGGTGGAATGGTGGTTGGGGTTGCATAGTCGGGTAGTGGTGGTGGATTGTGGTGGCACAGCTGCACATTATGTTTAATTTTGACCAGAGATTGATTTATCATGACATTTTCCGGAGCTCAGCCCCGGACGGCTCCTGATTAAATGAAGCTCTGATTTTTGGCTTTTATATGTTTATTTCCCCAGGGCATTACAGCCAAATAAATTGTTATACTATCCTAGGCTCCAGAGTCTACGCTCACCGCCTTCAACATGCACTGACTAGTGCAGTGAAGTACTGTATGGTCAAATAAGCCTCACGACGCACTTCATGGGATAGTCTTCATCCAGTTGTAGATTGACAAAGGACCGTACATGTATTTTGACCCTGAGGGGAAACTTGCCCTGACCATAGGGATGTGGAATTTACCCCCCACCCCCCACCCGCCGCCGGACTCAGAGATAAGCAAGGACAAAACTGATTAGAGTGGAGATGAAGTGTTGCTACATTGGCTGGGAAGGATGAGAGGAGAGAAACGCTAAGGGGTGACCTGGGTTCGGGTCCCAACTCAGAGATATCTCACAGGCTATACAGGAAGGTTAATAGGCCAGAATAGAACTGGTACCACCATATGTGATAGAAACATCTTATTGCTACTGATTTCTTTGTATGACCAGTAAGAGTGATTGTGGAATAATTGTTTTAATGATTATCACATCTAAATATAATAATACAAAATAATAATACAAAGTCTGGGCACTTCAGGTGGCTATGAAATGTAAAATATCTGATCTTGGTCCAAGGACATAATATTGGGATTAAGATTAAATCCCGCGGGGAAGGACGGTTGTGGATTTATCACTTTGTATCGATTTTAAGCTGACCATAAATGCATCGGTATATTTCAATGTGTATGTGTTGGATGTAAGGGGTTAAATTGACCCCTACAGGCACTATTGGCTGATGCAATCACCATAATGTTTAAATAGTAAGAAGTGATTCATGAATCGAATTGTGACCCTGAAAAGCAATACTGTAATTCATCAAATCGTTGCTGGGGGTGAGGAGAAAGTAAATTGTTACCCCTCTCTCATCATGTGAGGAGGGAAACCTTTTGACTTTTAAACATAAAACAGAGACATATACTGCCTTCTTCATTCACAAGTGTTTTAACACAACATATTTTAAAAGTAGCACTCTGAGGTGACCGGCTGGCTTAAAGGTCTGTGCTGGCACCGCAGGGATACTCGGGTTCAAATCCAGGCAGCTGCCTGTGATTATACCAGGAGCTCAACGCTTAGTTTGGTTTTACACTAAATTTGGCAGAATTACAGCTTTCAGAATTAAAATGATCAGCGAAACTGTCATTCGACAATCTATATATATAAAATCGCGAATCTGTCTGTCTGTGTGTGTGTGTGTCGCCGGACCATACGCACTTTCATTGGACGCCGGTTGCCCCTGCCAACGGCTAGCGACGCCTTCGCCGCTTTCATTGGACGGCGGTTGCCCCTGGCAACGGCTAGCGACGCCTTCGCCAAGGGCTGCAGTTTCATTGGACGGCGGTTGCCCCTGCCAACGGGTAGCGACGCCTTCGGCGCGGGGTGGACGCCATTTTGAATTAGCGTTAAAAATAGGCGCACGCATTAACACGCGACTCGCACGTAAATTCTTCAAAGTTTCACGTCCTCTTCACTCCCCTACCACCCCAATGTGTTCTATTACTATTATAGGCTCCGTAGATAATAACATAATAGCGATTAGACTGTATTATTGTTGCGCTGGGGGTGGAGGGGGGGAAACGCCACCCGTACCCTGCCTCTGCCGGGTGGCCAATTTAGGCGAGGCCGGAGGCTCTGCACGCTACTAGGCCTCCACACCCACCACGCGACTCTGAGGTAAATTCATCACACTTTCACGTACTCTTCACTCCCCCCCCAACACAATGTGCGCGATTAATATTACTTTTAAACCCAACGCGCCAAGAATCTATTCTTTTAATTGTGACTGTACAAATTGTCATTAAGCTGGGTGAGCGTACTGCCAGTCTATAATGTACACTGTAGCCTGCTTATTAAATTGCCTCAGTGTACTAGCAGTCTATAATGTAGACTGTAGCCTGCTTATTACGCTCGGTGAGCGTACTGCCACTCTATCATGTACACTCTAGCCTGCTTATCAAGCTGAGTGGGTCTACTGGCAGTCTACAATGTAGACTGTAGCCTGGTTATTATAATCGATTCTTTAAATGTTCTTTGTACAAATAGTCATTAAGCTGCTTCAGCGTACTGGCCGTCTATAATGTAGACTGTAGCCTGCTTATTCAGCTGGGTGCGTGTACTGCC